ACAGAAACTGGCTTTGGAGAAGAATGATTGGCTGCTGAGGGCAAATGATTTGCTATTTATTCATCAAGACTGTGGTTTCTAGTAAAGTAAGGTAAGTAAACAAACCTGTCTTTTGCTAAGACACTAAACTGCACTATTCAAAGAAAGTTACAGGCCATTTGGGGATAGAGTTGATAAGGAACCGAGTAATTGGGAAAAGATGGAATATCTGGAGTCTTTTTTTTAAGGCAGGAAAATTTCAGCCAAGTCAAATATCTTTCATCTTTATGTCCTAACTTCACTACTATTGAAAAACTACATGTCAGATTAGAGTGACATATAGTCTTTCTGAAATTTAGTCAGTTCAGTTTGATTCCCTGGGAAGTTAATTTTAATTTAGAAGCTGCTATTTGGCAGGCCACGGTCCACATCTGGTGGATGTATTTTCTTGGCATATGCTGACATATTACATTTTAAAAAGTGAATTGCCAATATTTAAAAATCGTGATATTGCACAAAAATATCTTAAATTGCCACTTGTCCTAAATTCAAAATATCTGGCAACACTGGGCATTCAAGCCGGCAGCAATTGTCTGGAGTTGAATTAGCAACTGTCTCCTTTAGTCAGGGCCTGTGTCTCTGGTTCCCCAAGGTCCCTACCACTCCCAGACATTGAGGCTGAGGGTCACATACCATTTATCATCATGCCTGGGCTATTCTCACATCCCTTCTTTTTCTTTCTTCGTGTATTTTTTCTTTTTTTCTTTCACTCATAGCCCTCAGAAGGAAACCCCTCCCTTTTTAATCAGTGATATTACTCACCCAGACTCCTGAGTTGGTGACCCCTTTTTTGGTTCAATTAACAAGTAATTGCTTGAGTGGTTGCCTATTGTGTGCCCTGCCATGGAGGGAGAGGCAAAAGGAACTCAGGATCTTATTTATGATCTAGTTAATTCTTTTTAAACTCAGGATCGTCATCCATTAGTGGGGTCATAAAATTACCTAACTTAATGGATTTCAGCCAGAAATTTTAGAATAGAATGGAATAAAATGAGAATATCAGAGTACAATACACACGGTAAATATTGTTTCATGAAACTTTTGTTTCTGTTATATGTAGGTACTAGACACAAAAATAAAATACAAATGAGAGAAATTGTTGTGGTATATGGTGCATCTGGAAGCTTCCATGAGCTGTCAGGAGCCTGGAAGGAAGAGGTACCTAATTGGCCAGTTAATGTGAAGGTGGAAGGAAGAAAGGAAACAAATAGCCAAAGGGAAGTCAGGGAGTGTGCAAAGAATGTCCCTTCAACTGCCAGATGGAGTGAGGAGCACAGTGAGAAGTGAGGTGAGGAAAACCTTGGGGGTAGGGAGGGAGGGAACTATAGGGCCTTCAATGCAGCACTTAAATTTTTGTCTATGAAGTAGAGGCCAATTGTAAAAGAACTACCATTTATATAAAGCCTTCCTGGTATGGGTCTGGCACTTACCGTCAAATTTAATATTCACAACCTGAAGAGGTAGACATTATCTAGAAACACAGAGAGGCTAAATGGCCTGCTGAAGGTCAATAACAGAGCAGAATTCAATGCAGGTTTGATTATAAAGCCCACACATTACACCTTTTTTTTTTTTTTAAGAGCAGGAGTACATGTAGTAAGTGAAATGTTGAAAAGAGATTAAATTGCCACATGTATATAGTATTCCTGAGAGTGAGAAGCTGGAAGCAGCAAGATAACCCATCCTTTCTAGAACTGAAGATATACCAAACACTGAGTACTTAATAAATAACGACAGCAGAAATTATAGTAATAATAATCATAAATTCAGGAAAGGGAACGGCTTTCTCAAGCTGAGATGAGTTCAACTACCTACGTAGGTAGTGCTAATTTCAACAACAGAGACAAAAACACCAGTAATTCTTAAGATTGTTCTGATTTTTTGTGGCCATCCATGGATGGCTGAGATCATTATTCTAATTCTCTTCATGGAATTATATACTGTCAGAGGCTAAAATTCAGTTTGTACATGATGTTTTCCCAATAGAGAATTTGATACTTTCATTATCCTAACTTTTAAAATTAAAAAGGAATTATTCTAAAGTCCAAGGTAGATAAAAAGTAACTTTATCTGAGGTATTCTTAACTCATTCTTTGTATTCTATTTTTCTCTTGGTCTCTGATGATCAGGAAGAGAACCAAGAATGGGATTACAAAATTAGATGACTCTCAGAGGAGCAGGTTTTAGCAGAGTTCGCTGGGCTGAGTGAGGCTGGATTTGCTCCACTGCTGATCAGTGTGGAGGGGGCATGCCCTTTGAGAATCTACTGGGAATTAATCTTAAAAATTCCTAGCAAGGCCTTTTAGAGTCACACACATTGAGGCTGATGGAGTGCAGTTAAGGTGGTGTTTTGCTGAAACTAAGGAGTAGCTTTTGAAACATTTGTAGATGCACGATGTCACATGGACCAGAGTGGTTAATAAGCAATTGAAAAAATAATTGAATTTTTTTGGTAAAACATTTGGAATCACATTACATATTAAAACTATAAATAAATTTATAAGTGATTCTGAAGTTACAGAATTAATTACACATTCTAATTATAATCTGAAAATGATCTGGTTTCTGCACCTCTTTTGACATATAACTGTCTTAGTGTTCTGTTGTTTATAACAGAATAGCTGAAACTGGGTTATTTAAAAGAAGTGAACCTGTAATCCCAGCACTCTGGGAGGCCGAGGCAGGCGGATTGTTTGAGCTCAGGAGTTCGAGACCAGCCTGAGCAAGAGCGAGACCCCTCTACTAAAAAAATAGAAAGAAATTAATCAGATGACTAAAAATATATAGAAAAAATTAGCCAGGCATGGTGGCGCATGCCTGTAGTCCCAGCTACTCGGGAGGCTGAGGCAGAAGGATCGCTTGAGCCCAGGAGTTTGAGGTTGCTGTGAGCTAGGCTGACGCCACGGCACTCACTCTAGCCAGGGCAACAGAGTGAGACTCCGTCTCAAAAGAAAAAAAAAAAAAGAAGTGAAATTTATCTTAACAGTTCTGGAGGCTAGGAAGTCCAAGGTTAAGGACACACATCTGGTAAGAGCCTTCTTGCCGGTGGGGATTCTCTGCAGAGTCCTCAAGGCAGCACAGGGCATGACATGGTGAGATGGCTGAATGTGCTAGCTCAGGTCTCTCTTCCTGTAAATCCACCAGTCGTACTCCCGTGATAACCCATTATTCCATTAATTCATAAATGGATTAATCTATCTATGAGGCAAAGGCCTCATGACCCATTCATCTCTTAAAGGGCCCATCTCTCAATACTACCACATTGGGGATTAAGTTTCAACATGAGTTTTGGAGGGGATGTTCAAACCATAGCAATAACCCCTGCCTGATGATGTAGAAGTCCTCTGAGCTCCCCAAACACATCACCCTGTTCAAGACTGCCTTTGCTTAAATTGGTTCCCCCACACAAATGCCCTTATCTGCCTACCCCACCCTCTTTGGCCTATACGTTCCAGCATATCCTTCAAAGCTCAGTTTATTATCCAGCCTCCTTGGCTTTAACCATTCATTCAATACAGAGCACCTGCTACCTACTGGGCAGAACAAACCTGGTTCCTGCCTTGCTGGATCACAGCCTAGTAGCTGAGTCACTGATCACTTAATGCTTTAAGAAAATACATAGGATGCCACGTGGAAGTACAAGGGGAACTCAGATTTGGAGTCTGGAGAGGCCTCTTTGAGGAAGTAAGGTCTGAAGGGTGAGTAGGAGTTAGCTGAGTAACAGGCTGGGGGGTGTGAGTGTGTACAACCATTATAGAGGGATCAGTAAAGCAGCAGCAGAGGCAGAGGGAAAGCAGGTGAGGAACTGATAAGGAGCCCCAGTGGATGGAGTGCAGAGAATCGGGTGGCAGAAGCACTAGGAAGCCATAAAGATTCTCTAGCCCTGTGGCTGTGACCTTGACCTGCCTTGCAGAGGTGCCCCTAAGCCAGGCCAGGAACCCTTCCTCTGCATCCTCCCGTTACACTGGAACTGCTTCTGTCAGGCTTCCACTGATTCCTTGAAGGCAGATTTATTTTGATTCAATTTTGGATACTCAATACATCATAAACAATCAAAAGTTCTGTTGACTTAAACTAAAACCCAGGATAAGAAGTCAAAAGATCCCATTTTTTCCCTTGGCTTTGCTGCTAAGTTGCAGTGTAAACTTGAGCCAAGTCCCTGGATTCCTCAGGACCTGACACCTCTTTGTCAGATCTATGGTGCCAAAGACCTCCTTGACTGGCCATCTCAAGCTGTTAGTGAGACTCCTTAGGATAACTTGCTCATCACTTTAGTGGGCAGAAATGACAGTTAGGGTAAGGGATATGTCTGAATCTGCCCTTGGACTATTCATTTATTTAAAAAAAAATACTCTCTCAAAATGAAACATACCCTTAAAGTGTAGTTTATGAGACAAATCAAAGTTGACTCCTCCTAACTCATCAATTTGGTTTAATTTTGTCTCATTCTCTCTATTACTGGAAGCTATCTCTTCAGTTCAAAATTATAAGTTGGACAGGAAGGAAAAAACAGTATGTTCCTAAAAATGACTTTGCTTTTACCTAAAATGAAAGGCATGGGTGGTTTTGAATTACTTCCAGTGGTAATAGGAGGACAAGGTGCTTAAGGAAGCCCACTAACTCTGTTTTGAATTACAAATTCCTGGGCGACTAAAATAAATTCCTAGAATTAAAGTTAAATGGGGAAAGGTGACTGACTGCCAGAAAATAAACGCCAGCTTTATTAATGTAATAGCAACAGAAAGGGTTTCCAATTTCTCTGAAGGAAAATAACATGAAACCAGCACTGCTTGGTAAGCATTACAAGATTACACACCCACATTTATCATTCTGAGAGCTCCCCACCACTCTGACGGTTCCTCAAGGCCATTGCCATCAGAGTTGCTGCAAGAACACGGTTTTCACTGGATGTAGCTTCACAGTCAACTCCTCAAAGACAATACTGAAATATTATTCCTTTCTAGAAACTCTTACTATAGAGAGAACATATCAATGTGGAGAAGAGAGGCTGTAGTGAGCTATTCAAGAAAAAACACTATCTATCAATTTTTCTCTCATACAGTCTGCCAGGGTGCTCTGTGAAGAATCCTTTTCCATTCCTACCACATGTCTGGGTGAGGGGAGAGGAAAGGGTGGCAAGGTGCCAGGACACGAGCAGGCAATTCTGGTGATGCTCTGGGCTCCGCTTCCGTTCTGCTGGTAGTAGTAGGCGTTTTTTCTGGCAGCTGCGGCAGCTTGATGGGGAGAGGAAGGGGCCACCCACCAATCACCTTTTCTTGAAGCCGTATTTTTTGCGTTCATAGAAGAGGTCTGTCTTAGAGCTCCCCAAATTGACAATTTTGGGACAGCCATCTCTCTGGAAAACAGAATGGAGAAGTTGCTAAGTCTCTGAGCCTGAATCAAGAGGGATTTAAAGTAAAAATTTAAACCAGGTGCATGTAGCTATAGTTCCAGCTACTTCGGAGGCTGAGGCAGGATGACTGCTTGAGGCCAGGAGTTCAAGGCTGCAGGGAGCTATGATCACATTTGTGAATAGTCACTGCACCCCAGCCTGGAGCAACAAGGACCCCATGTCTTAAAAAATAAAAAATCAGCTGGGTGTGATGGCACAAGCCTGTAGTCCTAGCTACTCAGGTGGCTGAGAAGAGAGGATCACTTGAGCCCAGGAGTTCAAGGCTGTAGTGAGGCTGCAATGATCGTACCATGGCACTCCAGCCTGGTACAGAGCAGAGCAAGGACAGAGCAAGATTCTGTCTTGAAAACAAAAAACCCCACAAAGAACCCAATAAATAGGTTTGCAAATGTGTCCAAACACTGCTATCCCCTTAATTGGAAGGTCCAGATCAATCAGCACTATTTCTTACCTATCTCATAGGACTTTTAGAAGACTACTTTATAACTTCTGGATTCATGGTTTAGCATTCATCTTACCAGTTACCCTATTTGAGCCATCACCAAGAATTTAGTAAATGGCTGGCATGGTGGCTCACACCTGTAATCCTAGCACTCTGGGAGGCCAAGGTGGGAGGAATGCTTGAAGTCAGGAGTTCGAGACCAGCCCGAGCAAGAGTGAGACTCCATCTCTACTAAAAATAGAAAAAATTAGCCTGGCAACTAAAAACAGAAACACATAATTAGCCAGGCACTGTGGTGAGCACCTGTAGTCCCAGCTACTCGAAAGGCTGAGGCAGGAGAATCGCTTGAGCCTGGGAGTCTGAGGTTGCTGTGAGCTAGGCTGATGCCATGGCACCCTAGCCCAGGTAACAGAGTGAGACTCTGTCTCAAAAATAAATAAATAGGCCAGGCTCAAGCCTATAATCCTAGCACTCTGAGAGGCCGAGGCGGGAGGATCACTCGAGGTCAGAAGTTCAAGACCAGCTTGAGCAAGAGTGAGACCCCATCTCTACTAAAAATAGAAAGAAATTTGTTGGACAACTAAAAATATATAGAAAAAAAATTAGCCGGGCATGGTTGCGCATGCCTGTAGTCCCAGTTACTTGGGAGGCTGAAGCAGAAGGATCGCTTGAGCCCAGGAATTTGAGGTTGCTGTGAGCTAGGCTGATGCCACGGCACTCTAGCCTGGGGAACAGAGCAAGACTCTGTAAGTAAATAAGTATTAAAAAAAAAATTACTGAATACCTAGAATGTGCCCAGGGCCTGCCTACCTCTCTAGTCAGTGATCAGAAATGATATTTACAATATTGGATTCTCAGCCCACATCTGTTGCTAATATGATATAGCTGAGATAGAATCTGAACCTCTTTAAATGTCCAAAGGGTTTCTTCGAGTGGTAAGAAATACTAATAATCATCAGCACATCAAGCTCTCTAGCCCTCCTGCCCTATCCCAAGAAAGGAGATAGAGTGGACCACAGAGGACAAAAAGCTTAAAGACTTTAGGAACTAGAACCTACATTTTAAATATTGTAGAATATAGGATTTTACATGCCCTTATTAATTCACTTAATTTGACATGTGGTTTTGGGGGGGGGGGGAAGAGTGCTTCTGTGCTAGAGATGGCTGTTGACCGTCCATCCTCTGATTTGTAATGACACGCTACCCTGGCCACTCTGTGAGCTTGAGTGGTTTCAGTGAAGCCCCTGGGAATCTGTGTTCTGCGGAAATGATGACTCCATCAGTTGATGTGGGATGATGGGAGGAATACTGGAGAAGCTGCAACTGAGAAACATCTTCACAGTCTGTTACTTTATTAAACACTCATGTCAGAGTTTGATTCCTGCGATATTAGACTATAGAATGAATTAATCAAATCCTTAGCCATCTTATTTCTATTATGATTCAGCTGATTTCTTTGGGGGCTGATATCAAAACTACAAAAACACACAAGGCCAACAATATTTTATGACTTTCTAGAAAACATGTCCCATGTTATTACACTGAGAACTCCCATCTGTGGAGCATGGTGTACTGAGGGAGCCAGCCCCAGCAATGAGTTGCTACGTGAACTCAAGTTTAAGTGATGTAATCTGTATTTAAAATCCTTGTGCGGCCAGGCATGGTAGCTGACACCTGTAATCCTAGCACTCTGGGAGGCCGAGGCGAGAGGATCTCTCAAGGTCATGAGTTCAAGACCAGCCTGAGCAAGAGTGAGACCCCGTCTCTACTGAAAATAGAAAGAAATTAGCTGGACAACTAAAAATACATAGAAAAAATTAGCCGGGCATGGTGGCACGTGCCTGTAGTCCCAGCTACTTGGGAGGCTGAGGCAGAAGGATTGCTTGAGCCCGGGAGTTTGAGGTTGCTGTGAGCTGACGCCACGGCACTCTAACCTAGGCAAGACTCTGTCAATCAATCAATCAAATCCTTGTGAAAATAAGGGATTAGCCGCCTCTCCTGGACTAAGAAGGCCTGATACTAATCATGACAGCACTCTAAATTCTCCAGAGATGATATGAAATTTTATAGATGATAGCCTAAACTGTGCCTTACTGACTTGTGTGACTTGGGCAAGTCACTTCTCTCAGGGGACATATTCCTCTGCAAAATAAGGGGACTGGACCAGGTCAAGGTTTACCAACTGTACTTATAGAACCCTAAACATTCCTAGGAGGTACCAAGTGATGGTAGGACACATTCCCCCAATCTGCACAGCTACCTTCTTACGCACAGCTTAGGTTAAGATGGTAGGTAGGCTCGGCAGCTAGACCACCTGACTTTTGGTAAGTTAGTTAACCTGTGTCTGAATTTAGTCACATACTAATACAAAATGACTACAGTGGCAGAATCTACCTCAGAGAATTGAGAGGGATTAAATGGTTCAATAAATATGCTTAGAACAGTGCCTGGCCTATAGTCAGTCCTTATTAAGTTGTAAGAAATTGCCAAAAACAAGTATCAGTGACTTCATAATGGTTCAACCTCACTCTCACACACACACACACACACACACACACACACACACACACACACACACACGGTACTTCTGTGTAAGGAGGTCTTTTTTAAAGATAGGATTCTACATATTAAAAAAAAAATGTTGGGCTGAGTGTGGTAGCTCATGCCTATAATCCCAGCCCTCTGGGAGGCTCAGGCAGGAGGACAGCTTGAGGCTAGGAGTGAAAGACCAGCCTGGGTAACACAGCAAGACCCATCTGTACAAAAAAACAAAAATAAATTAGCTAGGCATGGTGGCGCACACCTGTAATCCCAGCTACTTGGGAGGCTGGGGCAGGAGGATCGCTTGAACCCAGGAGCTCAAGGTTACAGTGGGCAATGACTGCATCACTGTACTCCAGCCTGGGTGACAGAGCGAGACTCTGTCTCTAAACACAGAAGTTGAAAATCAATGCAGTAGATTATTATTAGAGCCCTCCTAGCTTCTTGGGCTTTTCCAGTATTTTCTCTCCTTGACTCCAAGCTTTCCTGTTTCCTTGCCTAAACCCCTTGCTTTTTATTTTCTACAGGGCTTCCCAGTTTTTCTGAAATTCTCCCAATGCTATGAGAGGTAATGACATGCGGCCTGGAAATGGTTGGCTTTGGTTGAATAAGGCTGTGAATGGCACGAGTAAAAAGGAAGATGGAAGGACTGTTAAGGAACACTGGAGGAAGGTACAGGAGAGTATTTGCAAGTGAAGCTAGAGGATTTTTTAAAAATATCTGCAATGTCTGCCTAATGGCAAGAGCTCTTTTAGCAATTGTCCACTTGAAAACTAAGAAATTTCAAACTTCATCAGTCCTCCCAGAGGACTGACAGACCTCCCCATTCCCAGCACAGGGAGCTTTTATTTTAGGCTGCTGTGACTTGAATGGAATACCCACAGTAAATGTTTGACGATCACTTAATTCCTAAATTTCACAAAAAAGTAGACACTAGATGGCCAAGTGAAGGTTTATATTCATTCACAAAAGACTTTTTGAGTCCCTCTAAGATATCAGGTGCTTGTTTTCATTAAACTAAACATGTCCACTAAAATATCACTGGGAGAAACCTCAGCTGGGCTTCTGCAGCAACCACTATGGAGGACTCGATGACTTTGGGTTTCTTTCCTCAAAAGTGCTGTTTCTATCCAGTCTGTTGTGTGGCAGGAAAACAAGCTACAAAAATTACCCTGAACCAGTAAGAAAAACTGAGGACTTTCAAGTAATGCTTTAAAACCAACAAAAACCATTAAGTCAAATACAACATACCAAAAGGAAATCTGTATAGAACTGAAATGTGGGAAAAGGCAATTTTTAAAAAATAAAATTTGAAAAACATTATTACTGAAAATTAGCCAACAGCTCTGTTTCTTACCAATGGTAACAAGGAATGATAAATGGGTGGGGCAGTGGAAAGACCTCCTTTATTTTTCTTTTTATAGATGTTTTTTCTATTATTTTCTGTGATTCTTTCTACCAGGTAAAGACCTGCTTTATTAATAGAAACTCGAAGGTGAAACATTGTTCATTCTCTTGGCAACCGTTTAATGAGTATCAATGATGTAAAAAGCCAGAGTATGTAAACCACTTTAGGACTTAACAATAGCATCACATTTTCTATCTGAAACTTCATTTTTAAAGAACTTCAAGTACCTACCTCTGAATAAATGGATTCACGAAGTAACACAGATTATTATTTTTTTGGTGATTTCCCTAAAGCCACACATAGCATGTTAGTAGCAAAGTCAAGACCTGAACATGGGCTTTCTGCCTTTCAGTCTGGTGTTTTTTTCTAACAGGACTTCCCAGAGGCAAAATCCAAAACTTTACTGTGGTTTAGGAAGTTTTTGAGAATGGTAACTTGTGAATTAATTTTGAGAAGTTTCAAAAATTTTTTTGCATCTATCTAACTGCTCTGCTGTTCACTTAAATGGGGAGAGGAGCATGGTAGCAACACCAAAAGAAGGGAGAGGCACATTCTTTTTTTTTTTTTAGAGACAGAGTCTTGCTCTGTCACTCAGACTGTAGTACAGTGGTGCCATCATAGCTCACTGCAGCCTCAAACTCCTAGGCTCAACCATCCTCTTGAGTAGCTGGGACTACAGGTGTATGCCACCAGCCTGGCTAATTTATTTTTTATTTTTTTTGTAGAGACAGAGTCTTGCTATGTTGCCCAGCTGGTCTTGAACTCCTGGCCTCAAGTGATCCTCCTGCCTCAGCCTCCCAAAGTGCTGGGATTATAGGCATGAGCTACCACACCTGGCTCAAAGGCACATTCTTAACTAGCCTGAGAAAAGCAATACAGTGAGTTGGTAAGAACAAGTGCTTTGAGTTAGATGCATCCTCAACCTGGCACTGCCCCAGGACAGAGAAAACATCTTCAATATTACAATGATTTGCAACCTAAAGCTCACCCCCACCCAATAAAATCTTACTCCTTAGTATGTAATTCCTCTTGTTAGGAATAAAGTTTAATTAATGTAAATTCAATTTTAACTTTTCTCCTTGGCAGAGAGGCAATAATGGGGGGAAAAAAAGGTTGAGAAACACAAGAGTCAGATAGACCTAGGTTCTAGTCCTGGATCTGTCACTCATTAGCCATGTGACCTTGGCCCAAGTTACTTAACATCTCTAGGTCTTAGCTTCCTCCTCTGTATCACATAGAACTTTTGGAAAAGAATGTTCAGCACAGCACCTAGCACATGGCAAGAACTTCATAAATGTTACTGCTATTTTCCTTCCTTATTTTCCGGTTGGGAGAATTGAGGAAAATGGTAAGTAAAAGGAGTAAAGGAATCAATGGTTAAGGGGATTGATATGACACCACACCATAAGAAACTACAAATTAGTCCTCTGGTAGCAACAGCCACAAATATCATAGGTATTATCCCTGACTCCTGGTTATTCTTGTGGCTTTGAAAAACTACAAATGAGAATACCTAGCTTAGCTAACTGGTCTAATTCCATTATAAATTATGAAAGTTGCAGGAAGAGGACATAATGGGAGTTGCTCTGGTTGTAGGAAGATTTCTGCATAGGAAAAAGCCTTGGCCACTTAATCTACATGATGATCTGTAAGGCTGAGACGCTGGATCGTATCACTGGACTGCTTTGTGTTCCCTGGAAACTAGTGCTGAATAAATGTGAGCTAGATGCCATCTCAAATATCCTCAGAACATTCTTGTATAATGTGAAGTAGGGGAAGTGACGTCTAGAATAATTCTCAGGGACAGAATGAGACATGAGGATCCAAAGGTATCAGGTCACACACCACCTGCAGACGAGTCAGAGGGCAATTAACATTTATTAGACATTCTCTGGTTGCAAGCTCATGCCAGATGAGAACTCAATCTACAACCATGCAAAAATTCAAGAAAATATTGCTTTAAATGGAATCTTTGGCTAGCTTTAGAACTGTTTGTACCTTCTCTTCATTGCTGTTGCCTTACCATGGTTTCACTCTTTATACACTAGAAGTAATTACCAAATACCCACTATGTACCAGATACCCTGGGTGGGGACTTCTATGGGGGGATTTATAGGAGCAGCAACAAAACCCATGAACTATGTTTGTACTACATGTCAGGCACTGTACCAAGACCTACTGAAAGGAGAGACAAATATACAAACCAAAGTCCTGGCTCTAATGGAATATAACCTAGCTGGTGGACCAGGTCTGCATTTCTAAAAAGCAGAGTATGACTTGAGGTCAAAGGTAAATACAAATCATGGTTTATAGTAGAACGTTCAAATCACCAACTGAAATTATTTTTTGGTACTTTAGGACCTTTCTCATCCCCCTAAACAATAGCAGATTTAATGGTGTAAGAAAGAGTCTTATTTGGTCTAGTATCTCCCACTCCTGGAGTAGCAGGATATAGATGCACGGACTGCTGAGGTGGTGAGGCTGTTTCCTTCAGCATGGGCACATCCCCAAAAGGACTTATGAAAGAACAGCATGGTGTAATGGGAACACGATAAGGTTTAGTCAGATGGCCTGGGCTTTCCATTTACTAGCTGGAAGAAGAACTGTAAAATGAGGATGACAACAACAATCCCTATTTAACAAGGTTATTGTAAGGAACAAAGTAGGTAACATCCACAAACTACCTATTTGTAGCTCATGGGAATATGAAGAATTATGTATCTTTTGCCTTACCTTAAATTAGGTATCTCGGTACCCGCTATTAGCCTAGTGGGACTATATCATAATTCCTTTTATATTTATTTTTCACGCTTGTCTAGCCTGAGAGATGACCTTTTGTTTTGTCCTAAGAAGAAAACAAGCTGATTTATGGTCCTCCTTCTGCCCCTCCAGAACCCTGTTGCCAATACTAATCTAAAGAAAATGGTAAAACTTGCCTTTGGCACTGGTCTACAAGCCCTCTCTTCTGGCATTTGTTTGGCTCAGGGAGTTGAATGATCACAACTAGCCATTGTCCCTACACAATGTCAAGGGACAAAATATCATGAGGCAAACCTGCAATCAATTCTGCAATATTAAGCCAAAGGTGTTCTTTAGCTGCTTAAAGCTAAAATCAACCTGAATTGTCCCAAACTCAACTCTGTCATCACATCTACCCAAAGAGTGCTTAATGATAATAGATTCAAGAGAATTACTAAGTGGCTATTACACACCATGGGCTGTGCTAGGACTTACAAATGCAGGATGCTGTTTACGAATAATAATCATCACAGAGACAGCAAAGGACTAGAGAGAGGGCTCTCCTAATTGCTGGTGTTGACAAAGATTTGATTTTCTTGCAATTTTGCCCTTGGTGCAAAATAAGTACCTTTTATTGGACTACATCCAGTTTGCCTCACAGAACTTGAAGAAACTATAACCTAGGTGACTAGCTGAACACAGTAATCTCCACAGTTCACAGGAGATTGCTGTGGTTGGCAAACTGGTACTAAATAAAAGGAAGAAAGATCTCAGATGGAAAGCTTTGTATACACTCACATCCTTCTCCTGGATGGTGCACTCCTTACAATAATAGGCATCGGAGACTCCAGGGCCTCCACAGATCACACAGCGCCCCTGGTAAGAGCCATAGTTACATTCATCACATATTCGCACCAGGGTGCAGGGACGCACATAGGAGTCACAGATTACACACTTGCCATCACCTGTAAGGAAAGAGAATGGAGTCATCCTCACTAGCAAGTACTTCAAGTCCTCTGCCCTTCCCCTGCCATGGGGAAATACAACAGTTTCCTTTTGACAGTGACTTTAGGTCCCTCCTCTATTTGGCATCACAAAACTCAGCTTATAGGCCGGGCGCGGTGGCTCATGCCTATAATCCTAGCACTCTGGGAGGCCGAGGCGGGTGGATCGTTTGAGCTCAGGAGTTCGAGACTAGCCTGAGGAAGAGCGAGACCCTGTCTCCACTAAAAATAGAAAGAAATTGGCTGGACAACTAAAAATATATAGAAAAAATTAGCTGGGCATGGTGGCGCATGGCTGTAGTCCCAGCTATTTCGGAGGCTGAAACAGGAGGATTGCTTGAGCCCAGCAGTTTGAGGTTGCTGTGAGCTAGGCTGATGCCAAGGCACTCTAGCCTCAGCAACAGAGTGAGACTCTTGTCTCAAAAAAAACCCAAAAAAACAAAACTCGGCTTATACAGTGTCCATCTCAATCCCCTCAACATGGAATAAGTTAATCAGCCCGCAAAAAAAATTAACCAATTAATATGTAAAGAGCTTAGAATAGCACCTGGGAGATGTTAAGTCTATGTAATTGATGGCAATAAACTGTGTGTGTGCTGGGGAGGAATCATGTTATTCTGGCAATTCTTCCCGTTCAAAGCAAGAGATGTTCTTAAAACCTAAATATAGTGTTTAAAATGTGCCGGTTGGAGTGGGGCGATCTAGGGGGCCTTTGGTTGTATTCTGGCAGTGTTCACATATTTCCAGGCACATCTATTCAAAGCCCTCTGTGGCACCTTTGCTGGCTCCACGGCAACCGGGAGAGGGAGTGGGAGGGGTGGGGTGTAGGCAGGGCGTGTTCCACTCACATTTTTCGCACAGTCTTCCAATGGCTGTAAGATCAAAGACGATAAAAAGTACAATCAGAATAACGGTTTTGACGAAGAGGGTAAGTGCACGAGCAAGGACTGCAATGAGCCCTGCGGGATGGCCATCTTATCCTCATATACTTCGATCTGAACCAAACCCACAGACCCGATCATCTTGCTGAATCCCTCCCAGGTCCTGGGAAATCTGTAACAAGTTTCTCCGGACCTGGCCTGGACCCCATCCAGCCGCCTGCCTCTGGCTCCCAGCACGCGCGCCCCCTCCCTCTTTCATCTGAGGCCACAAACCCGCTCGCCCCGCGACTGTAAGGCGGGAAACGTGGCGCCTCCGAGGCAAGATCCTACGGAGAAGATGGGAACCCCCGATCCCGCAGCTCCCAATACCACTCCCACCCAGACAGCCGAGGGCAGGACGCTGCCTCACCAACACCAGCCTGCTTGCGGCAAAAGATCAAATCTGGATGATGTTTAGCCATAGCTCGCAGACAGCCCGGCCACCAGAAGCTTCTGGAACTTCCGTTCGACCTTTAACCTCCATTATTCCTGCCTCCACGTCGCCGTGATTGGTCCTCTAGGCGTCCATCACAGTTTACAATCTTTGTACCGAAACTTGCTTGCTCTCGCGCGAGTTTCCGTCGCTGCTGGGGAGCTAGGTCCTGGCAGTTGCATGAACGTCTTAAAAAAAAAAAGACTTCCCTCAGATTTGGATGGCAGAGACAATAGAAATTTGCTTTTGGATAAAACATCTTTGTACTCGGTGTTTACTTCTCCAAATGTTTTTACGCAGCTCTTTTTTATGCAGCGTCTGTTCCTTACACAGGAGCTCTGCCCACTGCCTTCGCAGGACTCTGGCGTCTCTAGTGAGGCCCCGCCTTCCCCGTGACGCGTCGCTCTTCAGGTCACGCCCCCGCCCGAAGTATTTAAATACGCTGTGATGCACGTCACTTTCAAGCGACTTCATCTTTGTCAGTGCACAAAATGGCGCCCTACAGCCTACTGGTGACCCGGCTGCAGGTGAGCGAGTTCAGGGCCAGGGGTCATGGCGGCGGGGTGCCTCCTACTGTGCCTGCTGCTGTGGGCGAGGCAAGGCGGGCCCGACCGCGGGCCAACTTTTCATTTACCTGTCCTAGTTGGCGGGCCCAGCACCCGCGCCCTCTCCTCTGGTGCCCTAGGTCAAGGCGTCCCCGGCACAGTCAGCTCTCCGTGTCCCTAGTCAACGAGAAGCATGGGCCCCAGCAGCCGTGGCCAGGTGAAGAGCGAAGGCACCTCCTTCTCTTTTTTGAGGTCCGCACTCCCCGCTCCCATAGGGTGTCTGTTTGTTCCTCAAGGTGAGGACAAGGTGATTGGGGGGCGCGGTCGTTGTTGAGCCTCCTAGGCTCAGTGCTTGAAGGCCTCACTTCCCATCTCTCAGCAACAGAGGCTTGCCAGCCACGTGCAGCCAGATTGCCAGGCCTGGAGTCTGGAGAAGAAACTAGTGCCCCTTACCACCTTTTGAGGACCAAGAATGTCAAGGGGGAGGGGTCTTCCAGGCCCCTGCGTAGTATATAATAATAGTGTTAGTAATCGTCTCTCACCTTTGCACAAGATTTCAGGACTTTTTTAATTCCTCATAATATCTTTGACTCATATAATCATCAGGTGAGATAGGAGTGGCATGATTTTTCTCTTTTAATGGCTGATAAACCTGCTAGAAAGTAAATGAAAGCTCTACCTCTCAGAGTGTTGCTGAAGTGCTGTGGCCTGAGCATCGGTCCCACCACCCCTCTGTTCTCCTTGTTCATGTCAGCCTGCCCTGACAGAACTTTCTGAGCCCAGAGTATGATCATTTGTGTTTGTGAGAGTACAGAACGGAGTATTTTGAACTCACAGTTACTTTTCAAATACGCACTAGATGGGAGGATAAGGAGACTCAACAGTTTGACCTTGACTTTCCTGTTATGAGCCATGTAGAAAGCTATGACTGCCAGATGGTTTTTTCACTCCTAACTTGAAAACCCTAGGAAGGTGTTATACTCAAAGGTTCAATGTCAAATGCGTATTTTGTTAATAAAAAACAAAGCAAGTGTCTGTAACACAGTTCCCTGTCAACTTTTTATGATTAACTTTGTCAATCTTCTTTTGATCAAGTGGCACAACTTTGATTATAGGATTAAAAAAGAAGTTGTTATGTGTTATACTCTCGGGAAGCATTGTGTTACTTAAAGTTATTTTTTATCACATTGCTTAAATTTAAACCATATAGCTTGGTGTAAAACTATCATTTATCTGAAGATAGTTTTGATGTAAATTCTGAGCAAAGGCAATGGATTTGCATGTAATTGTCTCTTTAAGTTTTTTGATTCTCTAGGTTAATTATGTAGAAATAGTTGTTTCTTCCTGATCCTGCTGTCCCGAGATTTAATGGAATCAGGCAAGATCATTTGGTAAGAAGAATGGTTATGGGCCTGGTCGCAGTAGCTCACGCCTGTAATCCTAGCACTCTGGAAGGCTGAGGCGGGGAGAATTGCTTGAGCTCAGGAGTTCAAGACCAGCCTGAGCAAGACGGAGACCCCGTCTCTACTAAAAATACAAAAAAATTAACCGGGCGAGGAGGCTGAGGCAGGAGGATTGCTTGAGCAGGAGTTTGAGGTTGCAGTGAGCTAGGATGACGCCACGGCACTCTAGCCCGGGCAACAGACTGAGACTATGTCTCAAAAAAAAAAAAAAAAAGAAGAATGGTTATGGATTTATTGAGCTTGGAAGAGAGGAATAATATCACAGCATTTTTAAGCTGAAAAGGATCTTGGAAACTGTGAGTGTTAGACTGGTGTAAAGAGAGATCTGGGTTGTGGTTCATGCTCTGTCCTGATCCTGTGACCTTGAGCAAGTTACTTCCTGAATCCATCATCTGTCAGTTGGGGATAATTTTCATTGAACAGATGTTTATTGAGTACTTGGGTTGTTGTAAAGTGATGAACAAATAGAATTTGTTTCGAACCTCGTTTTTTATGAATGGAGAATCCAAGATCTTGAGAGCCTATGTGACTTCCAGAAGCAGGACCAGGATTGAAATCCAGGTCTCCTTGTTTGTTAGTTCAGCTAAGATGAATGAACAGTATTATGCACTTAGCATAATATCACACTACCTACCAATAGCCATGCTGTCTCAAGTAATGACCAACTAACACTGTCCTCTGAGAACCTTGGAAATTTACCTCTTTTGTGTTTAGATAGATTTGAGAAGTGATGGTTACTACCTTAATAGTTATGTTTACAAAACCCTATCCCTGTAGTCAATTCATTCCTTCATCATTCACCACATATTTACTGAGCACCCACTGCTTGCTCTAGATACATTGATAAGCAAAGAAGACAATCCCTGTTCTCATGGAGCTCCCATTATATTCTAATGTACCTTACTGCAGAGGGCTTTGGAGATCTTTCTCTGCCAAAATACAGTATTTTTCTTCTGCCCTTGGCTGGACCAGAGATGAAGGTAGATAATAGAATGATGGGTACTACTATTACCGCTAAGAGTAGCTAACATTCACCTTATAGTGTGCCAGTAATTTCACGTGACTCTGTGAGATAAGGCAGACGTGTTAGCACTGTTTTTTAGATGAAGAACAGGATTAGAGAGGGAACATAGTGTAATGGTTATGATCATGGACTCTGGCATCAGCCTGTCTGGGTATTATAAAATAGTTGCAAAGTATTTAGAACCCTGCCCAGTACCTAGTGTTATATAATTGTTAAATAAGATAAATTTGCCAACAGCTTTATCTAACTAGTTGTTAGCAGATGTGACTTCAGTCTGTACACTTCTGATTCCAAAGCCTGAAGGCTTAGCAGCTGGCGCTGTCCTGCTTCCTTTTGGCATCAAGACTCAGCCTGTGAATCAGGGCAACACTGATGCTCGATAACTTGAGAACAGTGCTGATTTGAAAGTGTGCTGTTGTTTGACAGTACCTGCTACCAGGTAGTAAGATTAGAAACAGTGAAGAAAATGGGTGAGATTTTTGAAAAGCCACATTTACTCTCTGGTTTTTAATGTTTATTTTTGTGCGTATGACGATGGATGGTACGTAATGGGTTGGGCACTTGCGAGTGTGGTTTGTCAGGCCTTTGGTTTTGCCTTGAGATACTGGAATGCTGAGGTTTCATGTGACCTTGGGGAAGTGCATGTAAATATGGGATGTCAGTTAACTACAAAGAAGTCTGACATACTTGGCAGAAGTTCTCTATTTAAGTGCCATATTTAAAAAAAATTTTGGTTTGAATTGTGAAATAGGTTATTCTGGTCGCATGGTCACTGTGATACCTTCCCAGGTGTCAGCTGTTGAGTAAGACTCCCCGTCTCTACAAAAAATAGAAAAAATTATACAGGTATGATGGTGCGCTCCTGTAGTCCCAGCTACTGGGGAGGCCGAGGCAGGAGGATCGCTTGAACCCAGAAGTTTCAGGTTGCAATGAACTTTGATGACGCCACTGCACTCTACCCAGGGCAACAGAGCGAGACTCTGTCTCAAAAAAAAAAAAAATAGTGGAGCTTATATTGTAGTCCTGGGGAAAATAAAAAGAAAATTGTAGCTACTGAGTGCTATGAGGAAGATAAAATAGGATAGGGAGGTAGAGAGAGTGTGGGTGGCTTTAACTGGAGTGGCTCTGGAAGACCTCAGAGGAGTTTGAACTGAGACTTTGATGATAAGAAGGCAGCTATTCAGCATTTTAGGAGAAGAGACTTCATGTAGAAAGAGCACGTGCAAAGCTCCTGAGATCGATATGAGCTTAGTGTGTTGAGACTAAGAACTAAGGCCAATGTGGCTAAGGTGTCACGAGGAGGGCAAGGTCTGAGCAAGAGTGGGGGGCCAGGGTCAGGTGGGCTTTGGTAAGGAGATTGGGTTTTACTCTAAATGTAGTGCAAATGCACGAGAAGGTTTTAAGCCAGGGAGTGACATGATCTGATTTATGCTTGAGAAGGCTGCTGCATGGATGATGTGCCGTGGAAGGTCAAAAGCGGGGGCAGGGTCCCCACTGGACTTGTCCAGGGAGTGGTAAAGGTGTCTGGGACAAGATAATGAGATGTGTTCAGAATCTGGATATATTTTAGAGGCAGAAAGGTTGGATAAAGAATGTGAGAGAGAATAAGCGTGACTCTAGGTTTGGGGCCTCAGTAACTGAGGGCATGGGTGAACTTGAACTCGGTAGTGATGTGTTTGCATAGTACTTGTAAAACTTAGCTGAGGGCAGAAGCTCATTTATAAATTCTTGATCTTTTTATCCAACTCTCCAGTACCTTATTTCACAGGTGAGGAAGCAGATGAGGTTAAGTGTTTTACCCAGGGGCCTTCACTTGAGTGTGAGCATCATGTCTCAAGTGAGCCCTGTTCTGTCTCTCGTCTTACTGTGGTATTTGGTGTGTCTCCAAAAGTGCCATCTGGGAGGTATTTAAGTGTTTGATCTTCAGTGGCCCTAGCTTTCTTTGACATGCCCGGTTTTCCCAGCACCTGGTTTGGAAGGCATTGATGGGCTCTGGGCCTCTAAGCATGAGGAGAGAAGGGACTGCAGG